GATAAATGGAAGTATATGTCTATAAAAAGAGCCATATGTGATTGTTCATAGTAGTTTTATTAGTAATAGCCAAAAACTAGAAATAGCTTTCAATAGATGAATGATTAATAGATGAATGATTATCTTACTCCTGACACCAAGACAAAAAATGATGAATGATTAAATAAACTGTGGCATATACATTCATTAGAATAGTATTGAAAAATAAAGAAGAGTAAAGTATTGATATACACCACAACATAAATGAATCTTAAAATAATTATACAGTGAAAGAAGTCACGCACACAAAAGAGCTCATACTGTATAAAATTCTTAAACATAAAACATTCATACTACATAATGTACATTTTTATGTTTTARTTGCCCAGAATCTGAGCATCTTTCTTTTAGAGATAACTCTGAATCTGAGAAGCAGCAGTATTCTTCTTTTCAGTGTGGAAGCTGAAATGAGCAGAAATCTCCTCTTTCTCTTCCCACCCCTTGCAGTTACTGATGATCCTGGTTTTTGGCTTTCTTGTGTCCTTCTGGCACTAGAGACTGCCATACCTTCTCAGTTTCTTTGTTGTTCCATTTAATTACTTAGCAATTTCATCATCTGTATAACCAATTCTGACACTAAAATATCTCATTTGAAATACCCAGATTTTCTGATTCATCCTTCTTGATATAATTTCTAGTTTCAGAAGTGGTCTGGTAATCAGCTTTTACTGTAAAACGAACAACCCAAAACCTTAATGGGTTGAAGCAACAATGCTTTATTTTTTTTCATGAGTCTGGCCATTTGTGTGCTTCTGTTGATCTGAACCAGGCTCATTTAATCTTATCTAGGGAGCACTCATGGAACTACAATCATCTATTGGTTTCTTGGGGCTTTCTGGCCTGTATTCACATGACTGACTGTTAACTGGGGGCAATGCAGAATGTTGGTTCAATCCATTTCCCTTTCTCCTATGGCTATGGATACAGAGAGGGAATAATGGTATTTTTGCAACTATTTACCAAAGACCCTTAGAATCAGATTTTCAGAATGAGATTTTAGGATTGGGTTGCTCACCCATTTGAGTTGGACTAATATAAAACCTTTTTACAAGTAGAACAGGGTTGCTACAAACCTTGGGCATACAGTGGCATCACAGTTATTTAGATTACCTTATCATCTATAGAAACTTGGGAAGAAAAATCAGTTGAAGGGAAGACTGAGAACTAAATTGCTGCTGTATTGTAGCACCACGTTGTGGTTATACTAAGTACAAGATGTGTGGAAAGGAATGCCGCATCTGATTGTGCAAAAGGAGTTGTGGAAATAAATTAAGAAATCCATAGAGATTTAAACTCTCAGATCAAGTCATAGACACAGAGCCAGATGAATTTTGGGGGCCGTGTGTGTGTGCGTGTGTGTGTGTGTGTGTGTGTGTGTGTGTGTGTGTGTAAAGCATATACAACTGAGAATAAGGCCAAAAATATAATTGTGTGATGTTGTGATGTGGTTAATCAGAACTTCTCAAAGTATCTTGTGTTAAAATTAGAGAACTTGGAAAGACTTGGACTACAAGGGGATGAGAACACTTGGGTGGAGTCAGATGAATCTGGAGTGTCCCTTATCAGTGGAAACATATTTCTGAGGAGACAAGACTTTTCCTGCTTAAAAATGCYTTGATATTCCTATCCAAAATAATTGGATCTCCAAGGAGCTTTTGTTCTCATTACCTGTAGACCAAATATCTGGAGTCAAATACATGTTAAGGTTTGATCTCTAGGAGACAGCTACTACCATAAAAGAATTTCAAGCTCTTGCTAATGTGTATTAGTATGTAAACCCATAAAAGGATGGATTATAAGGATATTATACCAACATGAACGGAATATAAAATTGGACTGAGTTACAGTTATTGAAACAAGTATACTTACTTGAGATTCTGGATTTAATGTTATCTTAGTTAACTGTGACAAGGTCTAAGAATTTTCTTGATTATTAAACTAAGATTTGAATTCAGTGGTAGCCTACAATTAATGAGGTTTAGATGTCATAATTTCACTGGCATAACATAGAAGAAATCCAAAGGTTTAGGGAGGCAGGAATGTTGGAATGAATTTATTATGTTCAATCCATTTCCCTTCACCCTGTGCTCCCCAGTGAGGGTGAGGCTTTGAGGACATTTTCCTTCACTAAGTCATTGAGAAATGAATCAGTGTGGGGAAATTCTGAAATGAGCCTTCAATTTCAATAAGAACAATGGGTACTATATTACTGAACAAAATCTAGGCCTGGAGATGGAAATCTAACTTGAGTTGTCATGACAAATAGTTATGGGGGAGGCTGAGGCAGGAGGATTGCAAGTCTGACATTAGCCTCGGCAACTCAGAGAGACCCTGCCTCAAAATTAAAAATAAAAAGGGCTGAGAATGTAGCTCAGTGGTAGAGCACACCCCTGGGTTCAATCCCCAGAACTGAGTAATGATGATGATAATGATGATGATGATGATGATGATGATAATAATAGTAGTAGTAGTAATAAATGGTCTCTTGATATGTTCCCGTAACTGTCAGTTTACAGACCATGAGACCTTTGAATAAAGGGGAGTTGAGATGCTGCATTTAATGTTATCTTAGTTAACTGTGACAGGGTCTAAGAATTTTCCTGCTTATTAAACTTGAGGGAGGAGGACATCAAGTCACTTACTAGAATGACTGTGTACTTGGAGGAAAATAAAGAATGGATGCTAGTTCTGAGTTGAAGCATTATTTCTAGAGTCTGAAAATGCCACTGTGGTCTACTGAACAGAATTGAGACTTAGGGAGAGTGGAGGATAAATTAAAATTTGCCCTGAATTTATTTTAGAGAAGTCTCAGAATTTATAAAAGTAAAATCTACTGCTGAATTTATGATTGGAATATTATACCTAACAACTTGTAGAATATTTGCAATAGTGTCTGTCCCAAGGAGTAAGGGCTAAAGTGCTAAGAGTCAAATGAAAACCAGTGGAAAATCTCTCCTACTAAGATAGTAAATAAAAAGTATTGGGCTGGGGATGTGGCTCAAGCGGTAGTGCGCTTGCCTGGCATGTGCGGGGCGCTGGATTCAATCCTCAGCACCACATAAAAAATAAAATAAAATAAAGATGTTGTGTCCACAGAAAACTAAAAAATAAATATTAAAAAAAATCTCTCTCTCTTAAAAAAAGTATTAACACTTGTAAAGATTAGTGTTGCCATTTAAAGACTTGAAAATTAACAAGCTGTTAATTCCTATCACATCCTTGTTTAACTTACTTGCGTGGTCATATAGAAGCCAGATGGATTTGGAAAATTCCTGTGAATYCCTATAAAGTTAATTAAGTGGTGACTCCAATGACAGCTACTTTTCCAGGAGCATCTTTGTTGGAGCAAATCAACTAGCAGTTGGTATTCAGATAAATGTGGTTTTCCCATATCAATTAGTAAAGACAATCAAAATCAGTTTGCTTTCACCTTAAACCTCAGAACTGAACTCATCTAGACATTTTACAGGATATGATTGTTGACATCAGGCTAATTGGATCATTTGAGTAGAAAATAGCAAGAATCGCAGGTGTCATGCTAATACAAATATAGCCCATAAAAACGTAGGAGCCTGACACATCAGTGACATTTCTGAGTAGCAGGTACGCATATCTGCTCTAGACAAGATCCTGTACCTTGCACCACTTTTGACTAAATTCAGAGGCATAGTGCTCTGGATATTGGAGGCAACATCTACTGCATTTGGGTGTGCCACTCTGACCTATATATTGAGCACCTGGTAACCCTGCACATTTTGAAGAGAAGGCTCTATGAAAGGTTCAGTATACACAGCAAGGTCTGTACCTCTTTGCATGGGCCAGGTAGAGAATCGATGCTTGATCCATGGGTATTTGCAYTATTTCTTCCCCTACCCATTAATAATTCAGTGCTCTCTGATCGAACAAACTAAAAGTGTGAATGTATGCATCTGCAATCCATTGAAATATAAGTTTATATGAGATTGAACTTGGACAGATTGGAAAATTGGTGAAAAAATATGAAGTCCTTTATGGACTTAGGAAATAGGCACACACAGCGATGATTTATGTGTCCCATGAAAATGTTCTCCAAAGAGCAATATCAGTAGAGGAAATTCTCAGTAATCCAGTAAATGAGATAATCAATTCTGCAAAATCAGCCAGCCTCTTTCTGTAGATACCACAGTGCTTCCTCAATGGGTCTATGTACAAAGTGGCCTTGGTGGCAGGGATGGAACCTGTTCCTGGGCTCAGTAAGGTAGCTTTCTTTTCATGAACAATGGCTTTGCYATCTCCTCTGCTAAATATCCAACCTGCCAACAGCTGGGATCCTCCATCATCTGGGAATCCTAGACATCTGATATGGTGTGGGACCTTTTGGGGAAGAAAGTGCTTGTTCATTTGTGCAAAAGATGGAAGGATAGGTTTTCAAAAGGAAAGTAAATAGCATATTTTAGTTTTTCTCTCTATAAATTTTATTTTCATTTGTTTGTAAAACAATATATGTATTTTTTTTTACTGACTCAAATTTTCTTAAGTAACTATCTGCCCATCTAATAGCTGCTTTAATGTCTTCAAGGTTTTACCTACTGGTGGTATTAGCAAGAATCTTCCTTTCCCCATACCACTAAACAACCCCTTTTCTTAAGCAATATGAGAAATTTACATCTTCTTGGATCAATTAAAATGTTTCAGGCTTTATTTTATATTCTGTTCTTGTGTGATCTAACAAATAAYATTTCTTCAACATTCACACAAGGTTTGAAACTACTACATCTCCATCTGATTTCAATAAACTCATTCTATAATGACTATGTTCCACGTTATGTGACTCAAAATGAGTGTGAGGAAAAGAATGTTTGTTGTGTTGGTGGGCCTGCCTTTTTGGTAGTTGAACTTTTAATGCTAAAATTCATCCAGTGCTAATTTTCTAAGCAATAAGACAAAATGATGCCCAGAAACATGAAGGAAGGGCTATAAAATTAATCATTCACTCTAAGAAGTTCATAATTCTTAATATCCCAAGAGAGTTTAATGTTTTTAATATCAGAAGTCCTTTTTTGATATAAATCCCAGCAGTATTCTGGTGATAAGATTTTAGTGGGTTTATGGAGAAAGAAATATTTGTTTAAGTGGCTTTCATCATGCCACACTGCTTCAATGTTATTTTTCTTGTCATTCATGATTCCTTTGGAGCATTCCCTGGCAATATTGAGAACCTGAATGGGAGTACCACCAAAAACAGCAGCATGGTAATAAAAATCTCCCTCACCCATAGGTATATAAGCTTCTGATAACTGACTTCTCTCATAAGGCAACACTGTAGAATTTGCCTTATACCAGTAAGTATGTAACTGAGCTACAGACTCTCCCAGAGTCTCCAAACCATATTTTCCTCTGAAGATTTGATCCACATCCATGCAGAAAAGGAAGTCAACTTCATTCTGGATGTGATCCACAATATGTTCACTGATGATCTTCATGCGCATCATACTGATATCTTGCCATCTCTCTTCTCGTTTAATTTTAAAGACTTTGAATGTGTGGAGGCGGCTCAGAGGCATCCAATGAATAGTGGAAAAGTTATCTACCATGACATAAAAGATGACTTTCTGGTCGACCATGAAAAACTTATCAGCAGATGACAAAAAACTGTGCAAATAGAACTGAAGGTATCTGTGAAGTAAATAAGAAGTGAAGTTTGTCTTCTTATATTTTAGTGGAACACATATAATCAAAATACATGAACTGTAACTTATCCAGCCATGCTACTTAGATATGCTTTTTGAATACCATAGAAGATAGGAAAATTATCCACGTGTTCTTTTGCTGTTGGAGTTCTACAGATCATACAATAGACATTCCTCATAAGAGAAATGAAACTTAGATCAGATCCCCCGCAAAATGACAACAACAACAAAAAACAAACAAGAGCCAGAATTTTCAGGGTTATAAGAGCAATGAAACTTGTTTTGGGAGTTGCAGGCAGGAAAGGTCTTGGGTCTCTGCAAGAGGAGTTGTTGCTGTCCACAGCTTGTGTTATGAATAGTTATGCATACAAGATCTGAGATGGTATAGTCAGCAGTGCAGAGAAAAACACTCCACATTGTTTTTCTTAGTTTGTATTATGACTCTTTCTATGGTGCTAAAATAGCAGGGATGGAAAACAAAATTTCTCATTTTCAGTCTTGCAAGTCAATAAAAGATTTCAGAGTAAATAAAATTTCTTAGTTTAATTCAAAAGAGGAAAGGTGGCTCAACTTCAAATAAAGGTTATATAATCCTTAGAAATAAGTTTTGGATATTGATCTAGATTTTTAAAAATATAGCAGACTACAGGTTGGGAGGAAAGTTTCTAGTTCAACACATCTAAAATTATTAGGGAAACTATGAAAAATATCACTTAAAATATTTGACTGGGCTGGATGCTAGCACATGAATCCAACCAAAAAAGTCCAGTTTATCTGTGTGTGTGTGTGTGTGTGTGTGTGTGTGTGTGTGTGTTGGTTAGATTTTTTGTGTCTTATTTTAGAAAGCTTTGCCTCCTACTTAAGGTAATGAGAATGTTCTACATTTTCTTGTAGTAGCTTTATTGTTTTACCTTTTGCATTTGTCTATTATCCATCTGAATTGATTTTTGTATATGAGCGGATGTAGAGAAAATTTAAATTTTTTCTAGTAAACAAAACTTTCAACTTTGGAATGATATTAAATGTACATAAAAGTTGCAAATATATGATTGATAGCTCCCATATATACTATCTTGCTTCTCKTAACATTAATATCATTAATGATTGTACATTGATCAAAACTAGGAAATTTTGAGTGGTAATATATTATTAACTATAGATTTTATTTTGATTTTTACCACTTTTATCCCTAATAGCCTTTTTCATTTCCATGATTCAATCTAGAACACACATTGCATTTACTCATTATATCTCCTAGTCTCTTCCAATCTGTGACGCTTTCTCTCCTTATTATTCATGACCCTTGCAGTTTTGAAGAGTCCTGCCTGATCAAGTATTTAGTAGAATATCTCTTAATTTGGTTATTCCAAAGGTTTGTCAATTTTGATGATTTTTTTCAAAGAACCAATTATTGGTTTTATTTATTTTATTTTTAATTTTCTATTTCATTTATCTCTAACATTTCATTTTTAAAATTTTGATCAAGGATAGTGGAGTTTTTAGTAATGTCATGATTTAGCAATAGAGACACTTAGTGCTGTAACAAATGTATATAAAACAGTGATTTTGACATCCTATTTGATAAGGAATTAAGCAGAAATTGCTTTTTGTTTTTAAATTATTGGATGAGTTTTGGGGCCTTATTTATTTTTTGCATTGTAACTGGTGAATGGAAAATGTAACATGTAAAATTTCTGGCTTAGTTTGCCCTTTTCTTTTTTATCTGGTTCCTCAAAGTAGAAGGTTATCTTATTAATATGAGATCTTTATTCTTTTCTAATGTAKGCACTTATGGCCTCTTGTACCGTTTTTATTTTATCTCATAAATTTTGATATCTTGTATTTTTGTTCATTCAGTTTTTTTGTGATTTCCTTTTTGATCCATTGGCTATTTAAGAGTATGTTGTTTCCATATATTTGTGAATTTTATAGATTTTCTTCCCTAATTGATTTTTAATTTCATTTCAGTGTGGTCATGGAAGAAACTTGGGTTAATTTTAATTTTAAAAATGTCTTACAACTTTTGTGTCTAAATATAATCTAACTGGACAATGTTCCATGTGCACTTGAGAAGAATATGTATTCGTTGAGTAGATTGTACTACATGTTTGTTATAATACAAAATGCATACATTCCTCTTTAAAGGAAAAGAGAGTGGTACTGCTAAATCATGACATTATTGAAAAATACACTGACCTTGGTCAAAAATAAATGCTATGAATAGGGTTGTCTCTTTTAAGCAGCACCATCAATGTGGATTGGGGATACCTAAGTGAATATAATTGTGGTCTATTTAATGCCCCCAGATCTCATTATTGTAGATAAGGAATCATCAATTGTATTTTTTCAGGACTCCATGCTATTTTAAGTAGCCAGTGCACACAATGAGGTTTGTAGATGTGTACATTTAATTTGATGTTTTCCCTATATTTGGTCCCAGATTTTACATTTAGCAAATAATCTTCAAAGTTACATGTTTGATTTGGAATAATTTGCCTACTTTTGTTGATCCTAAAGGCTTCTCTTTTTTTTAATTCATATTTGTTGTTCTCCTGGGGGTTCAAAAGATAGGAAATCAGTGCAATGGCTGCATTCTTCCATCTTTAAATGGAAATATTCAATTGTAATTGTAATTTTTTTAGTGGTTTTGATTTTCTGTTTGCTTAGAAATTAAGCAAAAATTGAGCTGGGTGTGGTGGCATGAGCTTGTAATCCCAGAGGCTCAGGAGGGGGAGGCAGGAGGATTGCAAGTTAAAATCCATCCTCAGCAACTGAGTAGGACCTAAGAAATCAGTAAGACCCTGTCTCTAATATATATATATATATATATATATATATATATATATATATAGAGAGAGAGAGAGAGAGAGAGAGAGAGAGAGAGAGAGAGATTGATGTGGCTCAGTGGTTAAGTACTCTCCTAAGTTCAATTCCCAGTACCACCCACCAAAAAAAAAAAATAAGATTGGCAACAGTCTCAGAAAATTAAGTTACTATTGGGAGAAGATTGCAAAATCAATAATGGAAAAGAAACCTAAGGTTGGGATGTCTTTTTTATGTGTGTATGTGTCTGCTGGGGATTGAACCCGGGGCCTTGTGCAAGGCAAGCACTCTACCAACTAAGCTATATCCCCAGYCCTGGGATGTCTTTTGAGTGAACCTACTGGGTGATGATATTTAGACTTATAGTAGGAACTGGCCTAGAAAGAATAATTATTAAGTGAAGTTATAAAATGCTCAGTAGATTACCTCCCATTGTCTTCAACAAAAACCCTGAATGTAAAGGATATTTGAATCATTACCTACCTTCCCACAGCAAATACAGTCAATCCCACAGTAATTTTACGATTTGCATAATAATTTTTCAAGACTGACTCATTGTAAGTACCATGCCACACAACTGGAGCTGACCATTCAGTAACACTCAAGTTCTTATCTGTGAAGTTCAGTCTATGTCTGTAAGAAAGAGAATTTTTGAATAAGATACATATAATAAAAAAACAGAAGATAAAGCCTTGATAAGCATTGATTATCCTTGATTAAGGAAGTTCTGAGATCAGAATTTCTTTACATCTAACCCAAAGCCTTGACAGTTTTTCTTTTGTGGGTGGTGTACTGGGGATTGAACTCAGGGGCACTCCGCAATTAAGCCACATCCCCAGTCTTATTTTTGTATTTTATTTAGAGATAGAGTCTCTCACTGAGTTGCTTCACACCTCCCTTTTGCTGAGGCTGGCTTTGAACTTGCAATCCTCCTTTCTCTGTATCCTGAGTTGCTGGAATTACAGGCTTGTGCCACCACGCCTGGCAACAGTTTTGATAAACTAAAGAAATAGCATATCAGAAATGGCATGATCATTCCCAAAACACATGTATATTAGTTATACTGTAATTCCAAGGTCTTTGGAGACATAGTTAAACTGACCACCCAAATCTAAAGTATTGATTTATTTTATGTCTAGCTAAGATATCCTGGTCATAGTAGTGTTTTGTTTTGCTTTCTGACATTATATTCAAAAGCCATGTTTTTAAAAAATGCATGTCCTAGTTTTTGCACCCTGAAGTGCTACCAATGCTAATATTGCTGTAATACTGTTGTTATCAACTTTATCAGAACTGTGGAGAATAGTCAAAAGTTTAGAGCAACCAAGTAAAAGGTAGGAATAAGGAGCCTTCATGGTCTTCTAATTTAGCCTATCCCCAACTGCCTCCCCAGTGTGGCAATGGTATTAAAGAYAGGAGATGGTGTCTGCAATGTGGGTATCTGCTTCTGAAGAGAGCAGAGTGGACCTCTTCCCAAGGAGATGCGTCTCTTCTGACTTGTGCGAGGGCTCTCTGAAGAACTGACACCAAACTCAGACTTCTCTCAGAGTGGAAAGGTAGCTAAAGGAAGGGTGTTCCTTGAAAACTAAGTCGAAATGCATTCTGCTGTCATGTATAACTAATTAGAACAACAACAACAACAACAAATCCTGCCACTCTGCAAAAAAAGTTATAGTTGTGGCAAACTAGAAACCCTGGAACACTTGGGGAGAGTCATTTTGGACAGTAAGGGTTCTGATAGTCTCCAGTGTATAACAGGGAATTCAGAAATCCATGCACATGCCAAGGGCAGGATACATGCTCAGATAAAACCTGAAAATGCTTTAAATTTTCACCTCTGGTTGATATTGAGGCCCCGTGAAGCAGGAAGTTAGGACTAAGGCAGAATTGAGAACAGCTGGGCTAAGCATTGAAGGAGTACCCAAACAGGGCAGTCTGCAGACTGAGCCATATTTTCCTCTCCTTCCCTCACCTTTCACTCCCTTCCCTTCTTTCCCCTCCCCTACTTCCCCTCCTCTTTTTCTCCTTCCTGCTCCCTTCCTCTCTCTTTCCTTTCTTCCCCTCTCTTCCTCCTCCTCCATCTCCCTCCCTTAATCTTTCTTCCTTCTCTCTTTATCTCCACTATCCCCCACTCCCAAGTATTTAGTGAAATCCCTATTAGATATTGGCTGACCACAAGCTAAAGGAACAGAGATTTCAGAGACCAAAAATGACAAAGAATATGGGCTTTAAACTGGTTTAGAGCTGGCCATGGAGGCCCACGCACACCAGCGGTTTGGAAGGCTGAGACAGGAGGATCCCGGGTTCAAAGCTAGCCTTAGAAATGGCACTGTGCTGAGCAACTCAGTGAGACCCTGTCTATAAATAAAATACAAAATAGGTCTGGGGATGAGGTTCAGAGTGGTAGAATGCCCCTGGATTCGATCCCTGGTATCCAAAACAAAACTGGCTTAGAAAACAACCAAATACAACTATAACCCAAAGAACTCTGAGGAGCATAAAGAATAATTTCTAGAGAGACCATAATACAATAATCAAAATGTTCACTTATTATCAAAAATTATGAAGCATTAAAAGAAACAAGAAAATATGGCCCATTCACAAGGAAAAAAATAACAGAAATTGTCTCCAAGGACCTTGTTGCACAACGGTAGCGTGTCTGACTCCAGAAATTGTCTCCAAGGAATCCAGACATTATATGTACTAGAGAAAGATGCTAAATCAACTATTTGATATATGTTTCAAGAACTAAAGGGAACTATAGGCCAAAAAATTGGGGAAATGATGGCTTAGCAAATAGAAAACATCAATAATGAGAGATTATTAAAAGTAACCAGTAGAAATTATGGAGCTGAGAAGTCAAATAACTGAAATGAAAAACTCATGATAGGGTTTTAGYRGAAGATTTAGGCAGGCAGAAAAAARTCAAAATATGCACAGAACACTTTACCTAGCAAGACAGTATACATTCTTCTCAAGTACACAAAGAACTAGGCTCAATTATATGCTGGATTAACACAAATCTCAATAAACTTTAAAAAAAAAAACTAGAAACACACAAAGTATCTTCTTCATCAGCAATGGAATGAAATGAGAAATAAATGACAGAAAATCTGGAAAATTTACAGTATGTAGAAATTAAACATTATAGTCTTAAACAACCAATGGGTCAAAGAAGAAATGACAAGGGAAATTAGAAAATACATCTTGTATCTGGCAATGGATTTTTATATGTGAAAACCAAAACACAGGCAACGGCAACACAACAAATAAATTTGGACTTTATTAAAAAAGCAAAACTTGCTGGGTGTGGTAGTGCATGCCAGCCTGTAATCCCAGGGGCTTTGGAGGCTGAGGCAGGAGGATCGTGAGTTCAAAGCCAGCCTCAGCAAAAGTGAGGCACTAAGCAACTCAGTGAGACCCTGACTCTAAATAAAATACAAAATAGGGCTGGGGATGTGGCTCAGTGGTTGAGTGCCCCTGAGTTCAGTCCCTGGGAACCAAAAAAAAAAGCAAAACTCTTTTCATTAAAGAATACAATAACGAAAGGAAAAGACAGCTCATAGTATGGAAGAGAGTACTTACAAATCGTACATCTGATGAAATCTGATGAATCTAATAACCAAAATATATAAAGTCTTACAACTCTATTGTCTTTTTTACAGTAAAAAGACAAACAATCCAATTTAAAAATAGGCAGAGACATTTTTGTATACAAGAGGCCAATAAGCACATAAAAAGATGTTCATCATCATTAGTCATTAGTCATCTGGTAGGAACAGAGAGAAAGAGAGATAAAACTGGAGCTTTAGAAAAGTGAATATCTAAGGGGTCAATACTCATATGAGAAGGTGTTCAGTATTAATGTGATCAAAAAAAATGCAGTGGGAATTTAATTTTATCAGACACTAGCCTATTTGGCATCTATTTAAATGCTTACATAGTTTCTCCTTTATCCATTGCTGTGATGAATCTTCACCTTGAATTAATAGGATTTATCTTGCTGATCTTGTTGATGGGATGCTGTAGCATTTATTAAACTGTTGTCTTTCATAACTAAACCCACCATACACTACTCTGCTTTCTTTTCCTGGGGCTAGGACTCTGAAAATCCTTTTTCTCCTCTGCCAGCTGGTACCATTAGGTTCTGCTAATAGAGGCCCACACAAAACAACAAGGCTGAAGGAAGAGGAAACTTGCTCTTTCCTATTTTTTGCAGGTTTCTTGTCTGCTTCCTGTTCCTGCAAGACCTATCCCAGTAAGCCTTTTTTGCCACAGTAGCGATTTCTTCCTAGAGCAGCCCTTGAATCCAGTTTAGTGAGCCCCGCACACTTGGGCTCTGCTTCTCTCATTGGTGAAACCAGGAGAATCAATCATGTGGTTTCAAACATATGCTTACACTTTTGGTGTGCCTCTGTTCTCGCACCTTTAAGTTTATGTAATTTAAACTGTCACTCAAGGAGAATATGGGTCCAAATACCCAGCCCCAGTGAGTTGGCCACTGCCTGTTTTTTAGAATATTGTAATCAGAGATCTATCCAGTCTCCAAAATCTGGAATTCCAGTAGTGGTATTTGTTATCATCTATTACTTTTATGGATTAACCTCACATGTGTAAGATTTGAATTCTTACCTGGGATTAAACCAATCAGATAGATGCAATTCTGTTTTATTTTTATGAGACCTAAAAGGAAAAATAATGTAAAGAGTCATACTCTATCCTCTAGCTTGAGGTAATTGAGTGTCTATGAAATCATGGGCTGTATTATAATAAAATGCAAAATAAGAGTGAAGTAGGAAAAAAACAAAAACACTGATGAACTTTGATGGTGGTAGCATGGGAAAATCATGGATTCCAACCTCAATTTAACTTTGTTCTTTGCTGCCCAGAAGTCTTTGTGCTTTCATAGTTCTCATCCTCATTCATCTCATTCACAGAGAAAACACCATCATATTAAAGCTTCCTCAACTTTCTGACATGTCATCTTCAAATTTACCCATAGCACTGAACTGTTTTCCTTCTTTAACAATGGAAATATATCCCCACTTTCCATCTAAGGTTAGCCTTAAATATCTTATTTGTCAGGAGCTTTGATTTGGGATTTGGCAATTATTCTCAGAGGGTTTCTCCTAATCCCTCTATCCAATCATCTGGCACTCTCTTCTGGCACTTTGCTGTAGTTTCAGATTTTTACCTACAGCTAAAACCTCACCCATGAACTAAAGACTTGTGTATCTTGCCATGTTCTAAAGCTCTGTACTCAGATTCTTCAAACAAATACACAATGAAGATGTTTAATTTTAAAGTCATCATTTCTCCAAAGTACCTCCTTTTTAGTTTTGGCTTCTGTGTCTTACGGTTCATGGCCACAATGTATGGCATGACCCAGTCTTTACACTATTTCAGCCATATCTCCTTCCAAACCCTTATAATTTGCTTAAACATACTACAACTTTAATTAGCTAATTTCCACATAACCTTCAGATCCCATTTTAAATAGCCCTTTCTAAGGAAAGTGTTTCTTAATCTGCTAAATGAGATTAGAACCCCTTGATTAATAGCTAACACCCATTGAATACTTTCCTAAGTATTATCTAATTTATCCCAGATAGCAGCCCATATGAGATGGGTATTATTACTATTATTATCCCATTTTACCAGATTATGAATTGAGGTAGAGAGAGCTTTTATTATCTTGCCCAGAGTTACACACGAAGGGAAAGACAGGCAGTTTCACCCGACTCCTTCTATTTCCTCTTCTAATGGCACCCTGGCTACAGAGCTGGGGCCCCTCTGGAGAGCCGATCCTGGGATGAGTTAAGGAAGTGATCAGGCAGCTATGGAGCTGAGTCATATATCAAGAGACTCTATCCCTAGGTGCGCAGAGAGGAGTAACTTCAATGTCAAGGGTGTGACTGAGACCTGGAGTTCTACTCAAACACCCACTACCATTGCCTTTGGATGATGCATATTAGTATGTTAAGGCCATAGAATTTTGAACTAACATTAATAACAGAAAGACTTGTGGGTAGGTGGTATTGCATTAAATACATTTGCCAGAAAACATTTTAGATCTATTCCTTCTCCCAGGTTCTATGATGCAGACTTCCTTTTAATGTTTCCATCTTTGCCTAGGGATTTGCCTGTTTTCAGGTCATTAGTCACGGTTCCCTGTTTGTTGTGGATATATATATATATATATATATATATGTAAGTTTATATATATGTATATATATGTCATATTAAGAAGGTATGCTATATATATGTATATATATAACATATATCTTAATATCTTATTTTCATGCATGGCACAGATTACCTAATTATCTAGTCATGCTCTTAATAGGGCCCTTGTAAGTCACAGAACCATCAGAGAGACAAGGCCCTGGACACAATAAATATCAAAAAGGAAAGTTAATCTTCATTTTACTGTGGGGTTCCATGACTGTATGAATAATTTGAAGAATCTATACTAGTATTGGATCTTGCACAATCTTTGGGAAAGTTTTCCTCTCTGCACATATTTTTGATGGTATGATTGCAGAGGTGGTGTGTGGTTAATGACACCCCCCCCCCATCTCTCTCTCTCTTTGGTATCAGGGATTGTACTCAGGGGCCATGACCACTGAGCCACATTCCCTGCCCTATTTTGTATTTTATTTAGAGACAGGGTCTCACTGAGTTGCTTGGCATCTCCCTTTTGCTGAGGCTGGCTTAGAACTTGCGATCTTCCTGCGTCAGCCTCCCAAGCTGCTGAAATTAAAGGCGTGGGCCACTGCACCCAGCTAGTGACATCTCTTGAGAGTCATTTAGCAAGCTTTTACTCCTGTGTGTTTGCCTAGAGCTTTCAAAACTCAAGGTTACTGGGGGCCAAGTTCTGGCTCCTGGAAATGTGATTCCCATATCCAGTTCCCACTCCCCATCAAACGACACTTTGCTAGTCTATGCTTTCTTTGGCTTCTGGTATTCTTAGTTTATCTCCAAGATGTGTTTGTAAAATTGCATGGTTTACCATGCCTGCAGGAACCAAGGACTCACAGATCCTCATGCCCTTCAACAGAGTTTATCTTTGAAGAAGAGGTTGTAGCATGTTTGTAAATAATGACTTACCAGCACTGATACATCATCCATAGTTTCTTTGAGCTTAAGACAAAAGAAAAACATGTTATTTTTAAATGTATAAACAGTGTTTCTGAATATAAGGTGATTGGAGGACTACATCAATCCATTTATTTTATTGCCTAATATTACCAAATCTATTATGTGCCAAGTACATGGTGGTTATAGAGATACAGTATGAACATGATGAAAATCATTAYAGGTAGGACCTCACATGCTGTACCTTTAAAAAGAACACATCTACAACCTAATTCTTTGAGACACAAATGAATGAGAAGCCTACTTAATATCATTAGAGCAGTTAATCACTGATAGGTCTATTTGTCTCTAATCATGTAAGGTAAATATAATATATATACCTGAAGTCACCAACATTAGGATTTTTTCTTAAAGATCTTAATAATTTCCAAATTTTTCTCTGACATTACAGACATTAAACTGCCACAAAACTTTAGCTTCTTACTGCTTTTCCTCACACAGGAGGGCTTACACATGTAGTGCGCCTTTGGGCCCACTAGAAACAAAGGATTTGGATGCTGAAGGCTAGGTTTATGTTGATGTATTTAGGTATATTGTATATGTTCAGGTACTATTGGACTGATCTATCTGGATGCTGATTTATTTATGGGCTTTTTACCTTTTGACATAACAGATCCTTTCCAAGTATCAGAATAAAACATTCATTAAATTTTTATAGTTACCTGAAATAATACTTTGTGTGCAAGGCCCATAGATACAGTAAAATCAATGATATCATTATTTTCCTTTTGTATTTCATTCTTTTCCTGGGAGGAAAAAAAAACAGATGAAAGTAGATTAAACTTAGCACAGTATTAAGAGAGTAAGCTCTTGGTGATTTAAACTAGATAACTAGACAATGGACCACAATTAAGGCACTGTTGCTCCTCAGGTGTTATCTACATGAAAATCGAGTTGAGTCAGTGGATGCATTTGGTTTTATTTTGAGCCAGCTGCAGGAAGTCTTAGAACATTAGTGGGTTTTAGATGTTCTTGGTTTAAGAGATTTTATAACCTTTGTATTTCCTAGATTTAAAGGCTTTTTCTCCGGAAAATAAATGTGAAAATCCCTTTCCTAGCCTAACTCTAGGGTAGAGTGTCAGTGAAAAGATAATTAGGAAAGGACTTACCTGGACTCTAAAGATTTATATGAAGGAAGATAATTACTTTAGTTACGTAGCATTGTGGTGTTGAACACTACAAAAAGGTGATGAGACTGATGGCAACATAAAACATATGCCCCTTTGTAAAAGTTCTTGAAAATAAAATTGATTCAGAGCACTGGCTGGAGACTCAACTATAATTTTTAGGTTATCTGTGTATTGACCTTGAATTTTTAGTCATGAACATTATAAAACTCCTTTAGGGTATCAAACCACCAATATGAAATTGTCTAGGCACAGAAGAGGAATTAGGTGTGGCTAAATTTGGTTCAAATTAAAATCTCTTACCTGTTGTTTTCCTCAGATCATGGAGGAATTTAGACAGATTCTTTACTGGAGATAACATTTATGGTATAAGATGTGTTTGAAGAGATGTGTAAATTGTATGAGAGCAGACAGTTTTCAAGCAGGACATTTTGAACCCCTTGAAAAATCATGAATCAGATGCCCAGTACTGGTTCTATGTTACTCTCAAGCAGGTGTGTTTAGTATTTTAGTCTTCTGTGAATGATGACATCATCAGGTTCTTTTTTGATGATGAAAGAATGTATGATCAAGACAATCCATATTCCAGTAACCTCTTTTTTATTCTAGGGGACTATATTTTTGTCCTGTTCCTAAAAATAACAGATCCTTCAAGCTCCTTTTGTTTTGAGGGGATTTTTAACAGCTTTATAATAAAATTTTAATTGAGTTATAATTTACATAAAGTAGAACATGTAATTTAAGTGTGCATTTCATTGTGTTTATTATATATATACACATGTGACTAAMAACCACCTTAGTTAAGATGTTGACCATCTCCAGGACCCCAGTTACTTTCCTTGTGCCTCTTTCAGTCAGTACTCTCTCCTTCCTGGCAAGCTGGTGTAATGAAGATATTGAAAGAAATCATCAAGAACTTAAAGGCAGCTATGATGAAAAAATTTAAGGATTTAATAGAAAAATTTGTCAAAATGAATGAACACATAGGTATTCTCGGCCAAGAGATGGAAGCTACAAAAACAATGGGCTTCTAGAACTTTTAAAAATATGTATTTATATTTTATATACTGCTGGTGAGGCTTACTGACAAGATTGAATCCTGAAGAGTAAATGGTCAATGAAAGAAAAGATAATTCAATATTAATCATCTTATTAAAAAAGAAAGGAAATGCTTTGTTAAAATAAATAAATAAAACCTCAGTACCTATAACAGAGTTATCAAGTAGTCTAATATGCAAGTATTTGGATTCCCAGAAATGCAGAAAAGAGAAAATGGAGAAGTAAAACTTAAAGAAATTATAGCCCCAAATTTCCAAACTTTGATTTTACAGAAATTATAAACTTACAGATTCAAGAAGTTTAACGAGTCCCAAACAATAAAAATGCAATTTTTCCTCAAGAAAAATTGTAAAAATGCAAAGCAAATGTAGGAATTCAGGGCAAATTGCTGTATTTTGTGCCAGTCATTCTCTAATTTAACTGCATATTTGAATCATATGGGAAACTAAAAAATCCAGCATCCAGGCTTTACCCCATGCCTATTGAACAGGAATCTTTGGGATGAGACCCAGGCATRAATATTAGTGCTCCAGGAAATTCCAGGCCTCAGCCAAGTTTGAAAAACAACACTTTATGCCTCCTACCACTAAGAAAGAAACACAACTGGGTTTTGGAGGCATTACCCCACACRTGTGGATGACCAGGTGTTTCCCATTCACCTGATAGAATAAAAACAGTGAGTTTCTATGTAGAGCCCTGGACAGGCCTTTCAACTGATTCAGATTGCAAGCAAGTTACTCTGCCACTTAAGACCACAGTGAGCCTTGATGGTAAACTTGCTGCAGAGGCCCGCTGAATTCCAGAGCGCAGGAATGCTCTTTGTCTTGGTGTGTGCTGTGTTGCTACAGCAAAATATTACTGTCTATGGTTCTGGGTTTGTTCAGCAAAGGATTGAAGAACAGGATACAAAGATAGCAAGCAAGAAGTAGGTTTAGTGCAAAAGTGACGGAGATAGACTTCTCCAAAGAGAAGGGGCCTCAGAGCTGGGAATCCAGTGTGGGGGGCTCTTGGCCTATTCTTTTTATGGTCTCTGGAACTTCCTCCTTTCCTTATCTCCTCCCCTGTCCATGCTCTCCTCACTGTTATTGATTGATGCCCTCTCTGTCCACATCTCGATACTGCCGGTTATCGGTGACCAGCCCTGCTTCCCCACATGTTGAAGTTTGAACATTAGAGAAGCACGCCGAGGCAAGCATACAAAGCAGGGTTTATTTTAAAGGGGTAACATAGTTCTTCTGCGAGGGAGAAGGGGACCAAAGCTGGTATCCTGGTATCCCAAGAAGCGAGGTGTTCTGCCCTTTTTATATGTCCTAGGCTTCCTTTGTTCTCCTGCCTTTCCCCYCTGATCTTTCTCCTCCTGCTTGGCAGGATGGAGTAGACAAGGACACATTAAACCTTATAGCTCCCTGTAGGGAGGGAAAATTCCTGGGACAGGTTACCTGGGTTGGAGCAGGGGCAGGTTCTTGATAAGATCCCTCAGGGGACCATCTCCAACTTCCCAGACTCACTCAAAATTGGCTTCCTAAATCTGACCTGACTCGATTTACCTATCTACACTGACTGACTAATTCTGGCTTCAATGTCTGTTTTAGTTTTTCTCTTGGATCCTCTGTTTAAGAGCATGAGTACGGAAGCATCTGTCTGATTGGGTTCCCTGCTTGTGTCCACAAGCACTTTTGTCAAGCAGTAAGTTGATGTCATTAGAAGACCCTCTCCATGCTCCTTTCTTTTGGTCCTGCCCACAACCTCCTCACTTGCCATCTTGCCCTGGCTGCCTAAGCCCTTTTACCTGTCCCTTAAAAATACCAGACTCTATGCACTTTATATAGGAAAGAGGTTCAGTTCTGGAAGTTCAAGAGCATGGCATCAGTATTTGCTCAGCTTCCAGTGAGAGCATCAGGACAGTTCAATCCATGATGGAAAATTGCAAAGAGGAAATGGGCTCATGGAGAAGAGTATGTATGTGAGAGAATCAAGGGAAGGTGCCAGGATCACTTGAGGAGAACCCGCTCTCACAGTAACCAGTCCGGTCCCATGAGAACAAGAACTCCTCCTGAGAGAAAAACATTACCCCCTCTTAAAGGCCCCAAGCCTCATCATGTGGTGACAAATTGTATTCAAACCATAGTACACCTTGAGCAGATAATCATCATTTCCCTCTTTTAAATAGAAGTTATTGTAATTTACTCTCTTTCTTCCTTCCTTCTGTCATTATTGACTATAGTATGTTTGAGTGTAAGCTAATTTCCCACATATTTTACAAATCTGATAATCTGTCTAAGAAACTGAAAGAAATGAAAAACTCTGAGAAGCTTGGCCCTAAGACACTAACTGGATTCAGTAGTCTGCCATTAGGAAGGGGGTGGGCTGGAGTAGAGCAGAACATTCTAGACCATAGTGGGAGGGAGGGAGTACTTTAGTTGTGTAGGAAGAAATAACTTATGCCCAGATAAATGGAATGCATAGATATTTTAAGAGGGTAAATACCTAGCTTTCAACAATAGATCCTTCTTTGAGAACCCCCAGTGAACCTACTCCAGGAGAGAGCTGCTGGGAACAGAAGCAGATGCTGTGCCCTATGTGGATTTTCTTTCCAATGATTTTAGTTTTGAAGGAAGAAACCCTGAGATTGGAGATAGTTGGAGCTGAGTCACATTTATGGCAGACCTCTCGGGAAGTTCATGATTTCCAGCTGATGAGGCCCCTGAGATTCCCTGTTTTTTGCTCATGGCCCGGTTTTAGTGATGTGCTTGTAAAATTTTAACAACTGACTTTAAAAATAAAGAATAAGGAAAGTGAAGAAAAAAGAACCCCAGTTCCTAGTGTTTGCCGATTTCTGTTGTGTAAATAATTTCACCATATGTGTTAGTTAGCTTTTCATCATTGTGACCAAAATACCTGACAAGAACAACTTAGAGGAGGAAGTTTGAGATCACAGTTTCAGAGGATCAATTCATGGTCAGCCAAGTGCATTGCCATAGGCTCAGGATAAGACAAAACACGATGGCAGAAGGACATGGTGGAGAAATGCTGCTTTACTCATGGTGGACAGGAAGCAGAGAAAGGGAAAGGGAAGGAGGCTACAGGGAATGCCCCCAGTGACCCACCTCCTCCAGCCATGCTCCACCTACCTATACTTCCCACCCAAGCAGTCCATTCAAACTAGGATGGACTGATTAAGTTATAGCTCTCATAATTCAATCATTTTACCTCTGAATATTTCTGCATTAACACAGAAGCATATCCAAACTGTAACACCATGCCTATTTTAAGCCATCACAATGACATCACCAAACAGGCAGTTGGGAAATAATGTATAGAATTGGCTCTCACAAGCCAGTGTGAACTGGTTTCAGGACATCACTGTCAACTCAACTCTTGCTTGTCTTTGGTAAGAAACTCTTCAGAGCCTTCAWATATGCTCCTTTAGGGGTTTAGACAGAATAAGGGTGCTTCAGTTCCCCACAACCAAAATATCTTAACCTCTAACCACCTCTTATTCTAAACAGTCAATTCACTGAGAGTGTTATAACTTTGACTGTTTTCACAGCCA